AGATTATGTAAAGGTGCAAATTTCCAATGATGAATGTCATTATATTGTGTACCTAAAATGTACCAATGATTAAAATGAATAATTGATAATTTGAAATAGGAAGAAAAGGTTCAAAGAGGTAGGGGAAGTAGGAGGGGTAGGGGAAAGGAAAAATTATGAGAAATGGAAAAAAATGGAAACAAAGTCTTTGTAAATAGGGAAGGGTGGAGGGGTGAAGGGAGTGCAGGGAATGGGGAAAGAATAAGAACCAAGATGCATTATGTAAAGGTACAAGTTTCCAATGAAAAATGTAAATGTATTGTATACCTAAAATGTACCAATAAAAGAATTTTTTTAAAAAAGATAACCTTTCCTGTTCAGCTAGCAAAGCTAGCAGATTGTCATTTCTGAAGAATTCTGCTAAACAGAAATCGATCCTCAAATGTGCTCAGCACAATGACACTTACAACAGTTGCTGTCTTTCATGTCAAAGTGTACATTTCATCATCTCTACTTTCCTTCTTTGAACATAGGAGTGCTATAGACTTGACAATGCACATGACAGTGCTAGTCTTCTTCTGGATTATAACAAATGTGCAGTAAATCCTGCAGCAGTACACAAAAACTGCTAGAATATTTCCTCTGTATAGCATCCCCCACTACAGCTCCTTTTGATTTTCTCACATCATGCCATCACCGATTCCATTTGCCCGATGACTCACCCACCACCAAGGACCATGGCAGGAAAGATATCAAATGTCATCTGCTTGGAAAAGAGGCCTTGTGTAGATATAAAGATTCTTCTTTTTTAGCTTATATTTTTACATGGATTGTGTCATTTTTATGCTTCTGTTTTAACCTTTGTTATGGTTTATATCTACCTGTCCCCCCTCTGGGGCTCATGGGCGTGCTTTGGGAAAGTGACTGGATTACGGGGTAGGTAGGTAATTTCCTGTTAGCAGATGGGCCCTGGTTAGTTTGAGTCTCTGTGGGCATGACCTGGAAGGGTTTATCTAGTGCCCTGTTCCACCCTTGTATCTCTGCTCTCTGCACATTTGACAGGACGTGAGCAGCTTTGATTTGTTGTCCCCCTCCGCCACACCTTCCTGCCTTAGAGCCAGTGGACTACGGACTAAAATTGTGAGACAAAACAAAGTTTCCCTTTAAATTGTGGGTGTTGGGCATTGTGTCCCAGCAAGTGAGGAGAAAGTGACTAGGACAACTGTGACATGTAAGATTCTTTCAGTTAATGTTCATTTTATTGTTCTGTTTGTATCAGTAGCCCTTTCAGCTGATCTCTGTGCCAGGGTCCACTGAGCTCTGCATCTCTCCAGTTCTGACCTCTGCCTCATGCAGCTTGCCTCACTCATGATCCTGCCTCCACACAGGTTCACATCCAGAATGCTACCCTCGCGGGAGGAGTTGCTGTGGGCACCTGTGCAGACATGGACATCCAGCCATACATTGCTATGATCATTGGGAGCACTGCGGGACTCATCTCCGTGCTTGGATACAAGTTCCTGACTGTAAGTATGACAGACACTCAGAGTTAGACTTTGACTCTGCATCATCATCTTTCACATCTCTCCAACAGAAAAACAAAAAACAAAGATGTGATGTTTCCTTTCATTAGCATTTTCTTTGCTTAGAGGCCCTTTGCCTTCCTCTCATAAATGCCATTCACATTTCAGTAGTCCTATAGGTCTATACTTTCTTGATTTCTGTGAGGCAGAAGTGACTCTGATATCAGTTATTTATAATTTAGTATGAATTTAGTGTTACATGTTCGTGCTGTTTTCCTCCAGGGAATTTGCACTGAATTTTTTTTTTTTTATCTGCTTTGTATAACTAAGGATTGTGTCTTCTGTTAAGACTTGGGATGTCACCAGATAAGAAGAAGTAGGACCTGGAATCATTCCACAGACCTGGCCATTAGTGACTGAAATGAGTTTTGTCACCAATGCACTTAAGTCATTTGACTTAAGTGAATTTCAGATATTGGTAGAGAACTGAGCTATAGATAGAATTTATTTTGGGTGGAAAAAGAAATGGGGAGATGATGTAGGTCAGAGGATAAAAAATAGCAGATAGGTTTAAAATATATATAAAATTCATGCTAAATAAGTATATTTTAGCTGCTCATGCCACAAAAACAAACAAAAAAAGGTAAATATGAAAGTGATGGAAATGTTTTCTTTACTACAGTAACTATTTTACTATCTATATATATTGCATAACATTGTTATATATCCTAAATACACACAATAATATTCAATTTATAAAACTTTTCTGCACAATTATTTACTTCTGTTATGGAGCTGTTTATATCTAACAAAATAATACCCTTTCCTCTTTTTATGGACTTAGCCATTTTTTGCTTCTACACTGAAGATCCATGATACATGTGGGGTACACAATCTGCACGGCTTACCTGGTGTGATAGGAGGTCTTGCAAGCATTGTGGCCATAGCTGTTGGAGTGTCTAATGTGTGAGTAAAACACAGGATTTTCCTTTCCCCTGATTCTGTGCTGTTTTCTCTGATTCTATGAACTGTCTAGTGATGGGGGGCAATTTTTTTAGCATCTCAGGCAGAAGTTTATAAATCATCTTTACTGGTAAAAAAGAAACACAACTGAGAAAGAAAAAGTATTGTAAGGTGTGATTTAACTAAAACATTATATGTCATTTTAAATCTCTTTTCCATAGACAACTGTCTCTTAACAGTGCAATTTAATAATCACAATCACATTACTGTGGGTTTGCTGTTTTTCTTGGTCCCACCAAAATGGAAATGAGACACAAGTAAAGAACTGAACAATAATTTCTGTGCAGTCCATGAAAAGAGTGAGTTAGCCTAATGTGGAAAGCAGTTAGATCTAGGGAATCAGGAAGACTTGTCCTAGCTTGGTACCCATTAGTTATGTGACCTTTGACATGTCACTCAATTTCTCTGCTTCTCAGTTTCCTCCTCTGTAAAGTAAGATTGGAGTATTTATTTTCTAAAATCCCTTCTAGCTATGAGACCTAGATTCTTCCCAAAGAGGGTAAACATGTCTATTAAATGGTCAAAGGAAAAACTGCGAAATCAAACCCAAAAGAATGAAAGTGAAGTCATAAGCTATCAGTTATTATTTTAAAACAACAAAATTGGAACAATTTGATATGAATATCAAGTATGCAAAACAGCTGGGAAGAATAGAGATTAGAGATCACTAAGAGAGTAAGTAAAGAAGAACCAGAATGTTCCATTTTTAAGCCAATTAAAGCATAAAGAAAAAGTTGGATAGTTTAAAAAAACTTTAATTTTAGCAGACTAAAATTTTAATCTTGTTAGTACTAATACATTTTTTAAAAATACTCATTTAATCATGTTATACTGGACAGAAATTTTGCTTCCTAATTCAAGTGTATAGTTGACCCATTTATCTATGTTTTCCTTTGTTTAAACACCTGTTGCAAATTTTGAAGACAACTTCAGAAATACTTACTTTTTTCAATTCTCTTCAAGACCTAAGAGACTACTGAATTCAAACACTAAATATTTTAATGCAAATGAACCATGATGAAGTATGAATCAATAAGCTCAACTCCTAAGCGGTAGTGTATTATGTATTGTACAGAAACCCCAAGAGATGCCTCATGATTAGGAATTCCTGAGCATCATTCCTAGATTAGTAACACTACTACAGTTAAACAAGTCTGCCTGTCTCTTGAAAGCAGAGGCTTACTGTGAACAGACATTGAGTTAGTTTTATGACTAAGGGTCTAATCCTTGGATATGCAGGTTTAGCAATATCTTCTTGATTTATTTGTGAAGGGAGGGTTTCAGTAATAGCAAGGAAAGGGGAAGAGCAAAAAGCTATTAATGAAGCCCTCCCTTATGCAAAAATGCTATTAATCTCATTTAACTCAGTGGGTTTTTTTGTGTGTTTTTGGTACCTGGGATCAAACTCAGGACATTGGGCTTGTGAGGCAGGAGGCAAAACCACTGAGCTAAATCCCCAGCCCCTAACTTAATGTTTTCCAAGCCTATTGGATAATAGAGCAATTTTCATTAAAAGTATCTTTTTTAACACTTGTAAAAGATCTTGCGAAATTCCTATAAAAACAATTTAGAAAAGAAAATCAGTTTCTTACACATCAAATTGATAAAGAATAAATGAATAATACTGAATGATACTCAAAGTAGAGATATAGTGATATGAATTGCACAATTTCCTGTTTCAAAAAGCGCATAAAAAACACATAATCTATTGATCATATTTGTAAATAGGTTTTACTTTAGGAGGATAATTAGACAAGTTTAAAAGCATATTCAACATGTCCTTACAGAATTTTTTTAAAATGAAACATTGAGAGCAACCTAAATATCAACCTGTAAAATTATAATTATAGTACACTTGTGCAGTATATTATTCTGTAACAATTCTTATAGTCTAGATCTATATTAACTGACATGAAAGAAAACTAAAGCATTTTCATCAATATACATGTTTTGATCTTACATTTTTATTCTGATGGTACTGGAGGGATATTAAATTTATTCCTTTCTTTTTATTTTATGATCTCATATTTTTATTATAATATCTTATTACTTTTGTAATTTTTCATATATTAGAAAGATGTCAACCATTTATATTAAAAGAAATCAAAGTTTAGTACATTCTTTGGGTTCTAGTGATTCCTTTGCATCATGAAACTGAAACACCAATGAATTCTCACTTTCTAATTATTTGCTTCCCTGAAATCACTCCTTCAATCTTTCAACAACTATGAATTGCCTGCTATGAGGGTCACTGAGACGTCCACAACCCTTGCTTATGTGTCACTCATATATCGCCTTCTGGATTGCAATAGCCTTTTATCTCATTTTTCTAGTCGCAAAATTTTTAGGTAACTACTTCTAAGATGATAGACACATACTTAAGTGTCTTCAGTGATTCTGCCCTAACTACTGAAATCTGACCTTATGATAACTTTTCTAATTTCACTGTTTCTTCAGAGTGCAATGAAGAGATGGTAGCCCACATTGTTGTTGTTTTTTTATTAAATTCTTTTATTGGTACATTGCAGGTATACAACACAATTACATTTCTCATTGGGAATTGTACCTTTACATAATGCATCTTGGTTCTTATTTTTTCCCCATTCCTAGTCCTCCCTTCACCCCCTCCACCCTTCCCTATTGACAAAGACTTTATTTCCATTTTTTCCATTTCTCAGCATTTTTCCTTTCCCTTCTTTCCTTTCCCCTGCCCCTCCCACTACCCCTACCCCTTTGAACCTTTTCTTCCTATTTTACATTAGCGATTATTCATTCTAATCATTGGTACATTTTAGGTATACAATATAATGACATTCATCATTGGAAATTTGCACCTTTACATAGTCTCTCTTGGTTCTTATTTTTCACCCTTGCCCAGCCCTCCCTTCAACCCCTCCATTCCTCCCTATTTACAAAGATTTTGTTCCTATTTTTCCATTTTCTCCTATTAATCCCATTCCTTTCTATCCTTTCCCCTAGCCCTCCCACTTACTTCCCCTTCGCCCCTTTTCTTCCTATTTCACATTACATATTATACATTTAGTCCTTATTTACACTTTCAGTTTCTCACACCAGAGAAACTATTCGGTATTTATTCATGTGTGTCCTATTTGTTTCACTTAAGAGTATTGCCTCAATGTGCATCCACTTAGCTCTAAATGTCTCTAATTTCTCATTTTTTATGGCTGAGTAGTACTCCATTTTATAAAAAAAACACATTTTCTTGATCCAGTCTCCAGTTGATGGACATTTGGGCTGTTTCCAAGTTTTAGCTATTACAAAGTGTGCTGCTATGAACATGGGTGCACATATATCACTGTGCTATGATTCTTTTAATTCTTTGGGGAAGATCCCCAGCAGTGGAATAGCAGGGTCAAATGGGACTTCCAGTCCTAGTTCTTTGAGGTATCTCCATACTGATTTCCACAGTGATTGCACCAGTCTACACTCCCACCAGCAGTGGAGCAGGGTTCCTCTTTCCCCACAGCCCTGACAGCATGTGTTATTGGTTGATTTCATGATAGCAGCCATTCTTTCTAGAGTGAAGTGGAATCTCAGCTTTGTTTTAATTTGCATCTCTCGAATGACCAGTGATGTTGAACATTTTTTCATGTATTTATTTGCTACTTCTACTTCTTTGTCTGAGAAATGTCTGTTCATTTCAGATGCCCATTTTTGGATTGGGTCTTTAAATTTGGGAGGTCTGATCTTTTTAAGTTCTTTATAGATTCGAGATAGTAGACCTTTGTCTGAGGAAGAGCAGGTGAAGATTTTTTCCCACATTGTGGGTTGTCTCTTCACACTGCTGGTGGTTTCTCTTGCTGTGCAGAAGCCTTTTCATAAGAAGAGATCCCACTTGTTGATTGTTTGTGCTAGTTCACAGGCAACTGAGGTTTTGTTCATAAAATCTTTTCCTACACCGATGTCTTCAAGGGTTCTACCTAACCTCTGTTCCAACTGGTTCAGAGTTTCTATTTTAATATTTAGATCTTTAATCCATTTTGATTTTAGTTTAGTGCATGGTGAGAGACCCACATTGTTTTATACTTTATTCCACCCTCATTGTCTAAAACAAAAGCTGACACATTGCTGGTACTCAATATTTACTAAATGAATCAAATTAGGGATCAGTTTTTTGAGAGCACTAAACTTTTTCTAAGGAAGGTATTCTTATTATTCCTGAAGATTCATCGGAAGGTCTTGTTTAAATGCACCTACGAATTTTCTAAACTCCTCAGGAGTTTCAAAGAAAATGAAAAGATGAAAGCAGAAAACTAACAGTATATACATCTGCTAATGTTCAATGCTCCCCTTTGTCTTGAAGATGGCAGACACCACGTCAGCCTTCAGTAGGTAAGATTCCTTTGCTGGTTTTCAGGAAAAATATAATTGTTTTGTTTGGCTTCTTAGGTCCACCGTAGCCATGCAGGCAGCAGCACTGGGTTCTTCCATCGGAACAGCAATTGTTGGAGGTCTGTTTACAGGTCAGCACACTCAATGTTTCCCTGTGTCCCATGCTCTTAGCATAATAGATTAACAAGCAGGTCAACGAGTAAATTTTAAATTGTTCTAAGCCTCCAGAAGTAAGGCAATTATGCCAACTCAAGGGGATGATTTTACAGCACTATTTTAGTTACTATGTTAGTATATTTTCCTCTGCAGTATCAAAATGTGACTTATTTCCCTTTTTTCTTTACAGGTTTGATTCTAAAGATACCTTTCTGGGAACAGCCCCTTGACCAATACTGCTACGATGATTCTGTTTATTGGGAGGTACTGTACAGTATTCTAAACAAAAATATAAATAATTCCACTGGTGGAAATTTGCTCACCTTAACACTACATGCCTGTAAGGCATATGCATGATGCAACTGGATGAACTCTCTAGAGAAACAGACAATGTGTCCAGCCAGATAAAATTTTAAGTTATAATATCTTCCAAAGCAGAAATTAAATGAAGATAGACTTAGTTGACAAATGTCTTTTCACTTCTGACATCAGTCAAAAAAAAAAAAACTACTCATAAAAAATGATAAGGGTATTCGACAACAGTGTGAAATATACCAAATGTAAAAGTGGACAAAAGCAAATGAAACTTGTAAGGTTGAAGACTGAGTATATACACATCAAGAGGGCCTATATATCATAAAATGTCAGCCTCTTTCTCTCCTCTACTTTCTCCCTCTTTACTCCATTGACATTTCCTCCTAAAGTATTTCCTGTGAGTTTAAGAGGGGGAGATGCTTGGATATTTTCAAGGAGGAAAGGTTTGGGAGAGAATGTAGTCAAAGTGGATGAGATAAATGTTGTTGTTCTTTTATGTTTCCTCAACTCAAAACAATTTTTATTCCCAGTTCTAAGCATGTATAATAATTACAGAAAACACTTCTGTTTCAATATTAACAAGACAGGTCTAGAAAAAGAAACTATTAAGTGTCTCAGTCTTGTTTCCTTTAAAGGTCCCTAGGTGGAGAGAACATGACTTTCACTTCCATGAACATGAAGACCACAAGCAGCTTGAACTTGAAGCGTAATATTGTCCTGTGCTCCAGTCCTTTCCCATTGCCTAGAGTCAAGTTTAAATAAAAAAGCAGCATCAAACAAGAGCATGGAGCAACGTGAATATATGCTCAGCCCCAAATGCCCAGTGTAAAAATGTCTTGACATGTGGTGTTGTTTCTCGATACTCAAATGATTATTTAATTGAAAGGATGTGGCTGATAAAAAAATATGTCAAATGGATTGTATTTAGTATCTTAAAAACTCCTTTGCAACTGGGTAGGTACAGCGTGAGCATTGCTGTATATTCTTGAATTTTTCCCAGAAGAGATAGATTTATATAGAAATCAACACTTCCTAGTCATGTCAGTTTCTTAATGTAGATACCATGTCTTTATTCTCCAAGATTATATAACTGAAGCCAATGAAACAATATATGTACAAATCTATAAGAAAAATAAAGAAAATGTATATGCATATAAAGCAAGAATATTATTGTTTGGGGTAGTGTTTTTTTATTTTAAAAAGTGTCATTTCAGCAATATTACATCTTTGCTTAAATATTCTTTATTCCTTTTGCATGTATCCTATTTGCAATAAGAGCTCAAATGCTATCTAGCCTAAGCCTATTTTAATTTTAAAGAATAAAATGTTATTATAAAATAAAGCATAGTCCTTTTTTGGTGGTTGGAATTCATTTTAGTAGCAAGCACAAACACATAGTTCTCATATTTAATCCATACTTAATTCAAATAAGTATATTTAAACTTACATATTTGCTATTTTTCAAAGCAAACAACTGTCTAATGTTATAGGCTAGTTTTTAAAGAACTGAGTTTTAGAAAAGGTAACTGATAGTCATAAAAAACTTTGGAATATCAAATGACTTTTTTTTTTTCCTACGGGGAAGGTTTTCATATTTTTCTGCTATCCTTGAAGTCAGAAAATCTTGCCAGAATGTTTGTAGGTATCAATAAGAAAATGACCCCCATCCTAGTTAATATAATGTTATCCACAGCCCAGTTTGTGAATATTAGAACTTAAAAATTACAGCTAGCAATAGATTATTTTATTCCAGTTTAAATATTGTAATTTGTTCATAGACCCTATTTTACTACACATATAGGTGATTTCTTTCACCAGGACCTCTTTCAAGTGGGCTTTTCAAAAGGTGCTCATTTATACACTAAGACCACTGTTTCTTCTCTTGCTGATCATCATATTCATCTTCATTATAAGGTTGTTCAAGACCTGCACCAAGGCAAATGTTGAAGGGTCTTGTACATACAGGTATAGAAGCAAGCTTATTTTGATTTGTTCAGGAACTGTGTCATGTCAGCTAACTGTAAAGTCATATTTTAAAACTTCCGATCTAGCATTCTTTATTTCATAGTAGTATATTACCCTTTTATCTATTTTGCTTGGAATGTCATTTTAATTGAATGTCATTTTAATTGAAGATTTGAATCTTCTGCTCAGATAAATTCCCTTTTAGTATTTGGTAAAATTTCTTCTCCTCTATTCATTTTTCTTCTTCTAGCACTCTTATCATTCATATAAAAAGTCTGTAGTTATCCAAGACTGTTCTCTTTCCCATCTTCATTTCATTGGTTCATCCATCCACTCCTTCAATTAATTTTTGTTTGCAAACCATGGTCCAACAAAATTTAGTATGTGTGTGCATGTGTGTGTGTGCTATGCTTAAATCTCCTTGATCACTGTTGTGATTTTGTTTTCTGGAAGGGGTGTTATTTTATTCAAGATCCAAGTCTAACCTTGCTCTTTCAATATCTAAATAACATTATTTATACCTTATCTGCCCCCCCCCATTTTTTCCCTGGTACTGGGAATCGATCTCAGGACCTTGTGCTTGCCAGGCAAGTGCAGCAATACCCCCAAATTTTAAAATATCAAATAATAATATTACAGTACTTAATTGAGTTGATTAAAAATCTTAAGTCCTACTCACATGATCACTTTCAGGAAACTTGTTATTCTTTGTTATTGTCTAAATCTGAAAGACTGGCCCATAATGATTAACTGCAATTTTAGACAGTTTTGTGAAAACTGAGCTCTTTAGGTTTCTCCAGCCCTTGTTTCCATGGTCCTTAAGCTATTCATTTTATAAGAAAGCTCTGCCGTGGGAGCAATTAAAAGTGTATGTGTGTGTGTGGGGGGGGTATTTCCATTAGCTCCATTAGCTAACAGCTTTGTTAGAACAATTGAGTGTTCTCTTGATTCTTTTCTGTGTATTGGGAGCCCATAAGGTAGATAGTCCATTTCTTTTGTCTTTCACTGGAGGTTAAGTTCCTGCAGTTGAAATACCTAGGTGACAACAGTCTTGAAAATGTAGGGAGGCACCGAAATCTCTTAAATGAATCAGAGATATAATTCCCCTGGCCTACCACCTAAAGAAAATCACTCTGTTATCCAGTCTTTTCAGCAGATAAACCTTGGTCTAAAAGCATGGCCAAAAGGGACTCAATATTTCTGCTAAGCCCTTTTGCAAATCAGGAAGAGAACTGCCACCCCAGAACATTAAGAAGTTACATTACCATCTCATGGGAATTCACAAATCTCTAAGGATCAGTAACATCCAGATCCTTATCCCATGGGGATCTTTTAACTTCCTCCAAAACAGAGGGAAGTTTTCTATCAATTTTGTTTGCTTGTTTCCCCAGACTTCAGTTTTACATCTTCCAAAACTGATCTTTACACAGCTCAGAAGTCTTGTAGTTTGATTAGAATCATGGAATGAAGCACGAAAAGGACACAGTGAAATTTCCATCTCTCCCACTTAAATAAGATACTGAATCTGTATCTTATAAAAGGAGATAATATCTACTTTGGTAAATTATTTTGAGGTGGGATGGAATTCAGTCAATAGCAAGCATAAATCTTGGGATTTCCTACAAGTTTTCTTGGGAAATAATTATATTTTGATAATAAAGTTGCCATTGCATGTATTTTACAACTTGGTAATGTCACATGTTCTATTTAAACTGAATGAGAAACTAGATTTCTTAATTTCCTTGTAACCCTCATTTTGAATAGATCACATTTTAAAAAAGCTTTTCTAGTGGATCAATGTATAAGTACTGAGCCATACAGAGATTGCACAAACAATGTAATAAAAGGCAGAACTTCAGTTCAAATTCAGATCTGTTTTGGTTGGTCTTTGGCCACTCCTCTTCCTCTCTCACTCTTTCTTTTTTTGGTACTGGCAATTGAACCTAGTACTGAGCTATATCCCCAGCCACTTTTTTACTTTGAGACAAGGCCTGGCTAAGTCACTACGTTGTTCAGGCTGGGCTAAAACTTGTAGATTATGCTGTGTGAGACCTTCTATATCAGCCACTTTTCTTTCAAGACAAAATACCCAACAACTGGAACTTAAAGCAGGGGAGGTTTATTTGGACTGTTTCAGTAGATTCGATCAATGGTCAACTAACTTCAGGGCAGAAACAGCATGGCAGAGTGGCATGGTAGAGGAAAATTGTTCACAGCCTGGTAGCCAGGAAGCAGAGAGAAGGGGAGAGCCCAAGGCAAGAATGTATCCTTCCAAGTTATACCCTGTGACCTGCCCCTTTTGACCAGGCCTCACATCCAAACATGAGACTTACGGAGATATTTTAGATCTAAACCATAAAATTTTTCCCCAGGCTCTCCAAAGGCTCACATTCATCTCATTATGAAAAAATGCCGTTAGTTCATCTGTAAGAGTCACTAAAGTCTTAACACTTCCAGCAGTACTGAAAAGTCCAGCTGACAATCTTCTCTGAGGCTCAAGGCAAACTGTTAGTTGTGAGCCAGTGTAAAAATCAAAAGTAAAGTTAAAACACTTCCAACATACAATTACACGGGGTAAATATTTCCATTCCAAAAGGGAGAAAAAGGAAAATAGACAGAAACTGTCCAAAGACTGAAACCCAGCAAGGTAAAAATTAAACCAAGAATCTGCATATTCAGATCCCAGGTGAGATATGAGCTCCAAAGGGCTTATGCAGTCCCACCCCTCTGGCCTTGCCAATTGCAGCCCAAATAGCCTCTCTCTTGTGATAGCTCCAGTTACTGCCTGAAGCTTTTCTCAACGGATATCCTATGTTCTTCAAAAGGTTTCCAGTGTACTTTCACAGCTTCATGCCCTAGTCTCTCATGGGCTCCTGGTAAGTATTGTGACCCTGTCACACATTTTTTCCTGGACTCCCAGGCTTCCTTCTGAAATTTAGATGGAAACCTCTGTAATTCCATTACTCTTGCATTCTGCATGCTTGAAAAACAAGCATTACACTGATGATACCAAGTTTGGCCACCAGCTTTAGCAGTATCTAGGCTCCTTTGGGCCATGGCTGTAGTAGCCTCTGAGTAGCTGGATGGCTGAACTCGGAGATAAACTTCCATAAGAGGCCTTGGATGAGCAGGCATCCCAGAGATTCTCTTCTCAAATAAAAGATTGAGCAGGGTCTTGCTGATTTTAGTGAAGCCTTCAAGGCATCTGTCTTCTGGACCCTGTACAAAAACTTGGCTTCTTTTTAATGATAATCTTTCAGCAACCATAGTCTCCTTGGAAACAACTTTGGAAGCACTTTTTTTCTGGAAAAATTGCAAACTTTTTAAATCATTCAGCTCTGTTGTTTGCTCTTCATTCATACTATAGATCTGGCTAAAAGTAGTCAGCTGTACCCATCTACAGCCTGAACACTGGACTGCCCTGAAATCCTTTCAACCAGATTATTAATTTTCAACTAGATTATTATGCTGTCCTTAATCCTCATCTCCCGAAAAGTTTCAGGACAGAGACAAAATGTAGATAAATTTTCTGTCAAAGCAAAATACACATGGCTTCTAGTCCAACTGCCAGTGGAGTTCTTGTTCCCAACTGAAACCTCCTGAGCCTGGTCTTTACTATCTTCTTTTCTATCAGCATTGTGGTCTTCTGCATTCTGAAAAGAATCTCCCACCAATTTACGCTTAGTCTGCTTACAGCATTCCATAGCTTCTCTACCCAACATCTCCAAACCATTCCAAATTCATCCCACAAACCATTTCCAAAGGCTTCTAAGATATATGATCAGGTAGAGTCATAGCAACAATCCCACTCCTGGTATCAATTTTCTGTGTTAGTCACTTTCCTGTCACTGGGACAAAATACCCAGCACACATAAAAGGAGAGGCTTATTTTGACTCAGTTTCACTGGACTTAGTCTATAGTCAACTGGCTACAAGGCAGAAACAGCACAACAGAATGGCATGGCTGAAAAAAGCTGTTCACTGCATGACAGCCAGGAAGTAGAGAACGAAGGGAGAAGCCAGGTAAGAGAATACACTCATTCTAAGTCACACCCACACTAATCCACTACTTCCAACCATTCCCCACCTCTGAACATGAGTCTTTTAAAGGAATTTTGGATCTAAACCAAAATACCTTCCTAAGATCCAGAAATAAATTATCGTGGTGTACTATCTAAAGATTAAGGTAGACTTTTTGTCATG